AGGCGAGGTTGGAATTTTGTAGGTATGCATGGGACTATGAATTGTTTTTAGAGATTGATCGTATATGTCAAACAATGTAGTGAGATACTCACTGTAGATTCTAATTCAATATTTTCTCCTCTGTTTTTATTTATTATAGGAAATTGAAAGATCAGAGCATGATTTATTTCAAGTATCGAGAGCAGTTCCTGAACTGTTAGAGCCTCAGGTGAGGGCTATTATGTAGATTTGGATTAGGTTTAAGTCAGTATAGAATGAACGCAACACAAAACTCAGAAGCTCTGATCCAATTGATTTTGTTTTAACTATTAGAAAAAATCCTTAACTGCTTCTCATTCAGTCTACAGCTGAGTTTAGTATAGAAGGCAACACACTATTGCAAATATAGTGTGTGATTACACAACACTCTGGACCCCGTGTCAATGGGTGTAGACTCAGGTCGTAGTGAATGTCCCCACCAAGATTGGAACCAAACCTACACCATTGATGGTTTATTTTATTTTATCAAACAAAAAAAACAACTATTTTATTTTCAGGACATCTGCCTATAGTGAGTATTTATTTGAAGAACCAATAGCTAATTTCATATAACTATTGGAGCAGAATCACAAAAAACCGAGATACATTGTAGATGATTGAAATGGGCCTAATGTCATTCACTCGTTCAACACAATCCTGTGGTCACATGATCAGAGTGGTCACATGATCAGAGTGGTCACATGATCAGAGTGTGACATCACTTCTCACTTATGGGCGGCAGCTTAACACACACCATTTTTCTTTGTTTTTGACTTCTTGCCAAAGCTTGTACTCAATACACAAACTAATATAAACAAGATACTAAAAGATATAAACATACTGCTGCTAATGTACTGTACAGATGTAAACATACAGCTGCTAATGTACAGATGTAAACACACTGCTGCTAACATGTACAGATGTAAACATACTGCTGCTAATGTACAGATGTAAACATACTGCTGCTAATGTACGGATGTAAACATACCTCTGCTAATGTACAGATGTAAACATACTGCTGCTAATGTACAGATGTAAACATACTGCTGCTAATGTACAGATGTAAACATACTGCTGCTAATGTACAGATGTAAACATACTGCTGCTAATGTACTGTACAGATGTAAACATACAGCTGCTAATGTACAGATGTAAACACACTGCTGCTAATGTGTACAGATGTAAACATACTGCTGCTAACATGTACAGATGTAGCCATACTGCTGCTAATGTACAGATGTAAACATACTGCTGCTAATGTATGGATGTAAACATACTGCTGCTAATGTATGGATGTAAACATACTGCTGCTAATGTACAGATGTAAACATACTGCTGCTAATGTACAGATGTAAACATACTGCTCCTAACATGTACAGATGTAAACATACTGCTGCTAATGTACAGATGTAAACATACTGCTGCTAATGTACAGATGTAAACATACTGCTGCTAATGTACAGATGTAAACATACTGCTGCTAACATGTACAGATGTAAACATACTGCTGCTAATGTACAGATGTAAACATACTGCTGCTAACGTGTACAAATGTAAACATAGGCAAGGCAAGGCAAGGCAAGTTTATTTATATAGCACAATTCATACACAAGGCAATTCAAAGTGCTGAACAGAACAAGAAAGCATTAAAATCATAAATAATCACAGTACATTAAAAAAAAGATAAAAATATAAAATCCCTCAGTTGTATGCACAGCTAAACAGAACTGTTTTCAACCTTGTCTTAAACATTGTCAGAGAGGAGGCCTGTCTCACACAAACATACTGCTGCTAATGTACAGATGTAAACATACTGCTGCTAATGTACAGATGTAAACATACTGCTGCTAACGTGTACAGATGTAAACATACTGCTGCTAATGTACAGATGTAAACATACTGCTGCTAATGTACAGATGTAAATATACTGCTGCTAATGTACAGATGTAAATATACTGCTGCTAATGTACAGATGTAAACACACTGCTGCTAACATGTAGAGATGTAAACATACTGCTGCTAATGTACAGATGTAAACATACTGCTGCTAACATGTACAGATGTAAACATACTGCTGCTAATGTACAGATGTAAACATACTGCTGCTAACATGTAGAGATGTAAACATACTGCTGCTAATGTACAGATGTAAACATACTGCTGCTAATGTACAGGTGTAAACACACTGCTGCTAATGTACAGATGTAAACACACTGCTGCTAACATGTAGAGATGTAAACATACTGCTGCTAATGTACAGATGTAAACATACTGCTGCTAATGTACAGATGCAAACATACACATTGTTTGCAGTAGAACAATGTGTATGTTAGAGGCATGTACTTTATACATGCCTCTTGTTTTGCCAAATGTAAAATTTTTAAACTTCTTTATTATTATTATTATGTTCAAGATAGAGATTTTATACTTGTTCTTTGATGCTAGAGATAGAGATTTTTGTTTTATTTTAATTAGTATAGCTATTGTTCACATATCTTGTGCTGTGTGCTCCTCTTTCCTACTGTTCTATAACTTGTGATGCAACACTGAAATTTCCCCAATGTGGGACGATTCAAGAATCTCTTCATCTTAAAAGGACGAATTGATAAGGTAAGCTAACAGTATGCTAGTATTATGCTAAGATAAGATAAGATATACTTTATTCATCTCACACAGGAGAAATTTACCAACAGCTGGATTGTGTTGTAAGTATGTATACAAAATCCCAGACTTTAGCGCAATAAAGAAGCAGGTATGAAATCTCTAACTTTAGCAACTTAGCAATAAAGAAGCACAATTGAAACATAATATATTCTCTGTAATGATAAACTTGTTGCAGTCCTTGTTCTCACCGTTAAACTCCCCTCTCTTTTTTCTCTTGCGTCCCACGAGGCCACATCAGCGTGACGCCAGCTCCTCTCTCTCTCTCTCACTCACACTCATCTCTTGTTTGTATTTATTAACGTCTGCCGGAGCTTCATTACAAATAAAAAGACATTTGTTTTGTTTTATAATAACTCCCTGGCTGTGATTTCTGGAGCTCAGATTTCGCCGCATTCGTCAGTCAGAGAGAGCGTTGTGAATAAACAGATTTGGGCGCTTGTGATGTAGTGATGAGAAATGCCACTCTGACAGCTGTAATGATGTTGTGTGAGGCTTCTGTCATTGTTCAAACATATTTGTTCTGCCGCTTTTTTTTCCCTTCGCCAGTTTACATGCGTTGTCATTTTCTCATCATCCGCCAACCAGCCCCGATCTTTCATCCCCCCCCCACTCCGCGTCTTTCGCAAACCCAAAGTTAGTTTATTTGTCTCGTAATTACGTCGCTCGTTGGGACTTTGAACGCAGCTCTACAAAGTCTCGAGTTTTGTTTTCGCGAAAGGAGCAGAAATAGTCTCGCTTTGAGATGGCGGCTCGTCAATGTCACGCTCGGGCGCTAACGGCGAGGAGAGGCAGGATCAGGATCACGGTCCAGCGGAGTGGAGGTGTCTCTGTGTGTGGATTATTTGTTAATTGGTTTTATTTTGACTTAAGTTCTGTGATTTCATTTTTAGTTTGACTTCCTGTCCTGTTTTTTCCCCGTTTTTTTTTTTTGCACAATCTGAGTGATTCTATTTATGCCAAATGTGACATGTCAATTTCTCCATTGAGATCAACAAAGTTCATCGTATCTTATTTTGTTATTTTTTGCCTTCCTGCTTTTTGAGTCCTTCCTTAATTTCACCACGTGACAATTTCTGACGTTTCCTACGTCCGATTTCATCCAAGGTAAGAGTGCGGAAGGGATAAATTTACTCACGAACGACCAATTTTGACTTTTATTTTAACCTAGACTTTCCGGAAGATAGATTAAACCGCTAAATGAAGAGTTTTGCCTTTCAATTCAATTCGAATCACAAGCCTTAAATCACAACAGTAGTAATCTCAGAGGACTTTACAAAACTGTCGATTAGCCAACACAGATCAGAGAAAAACAGTTCAAATACAGGAAACACAAGAAATGCAATGATAAAGTTAAATTCAGCTCCATCATCACCCCAACGGCCCGATACAGCTCTGAATGCAGACGCTGCTCCCTCCTCACCCCAACAGTCTGACACAGCGATAGCGTCACTGCATATGTTCTATTTTCAAGGGAACGACAAATGTTGACTATTTGGATCCGATACAGATTTTATGGTGGCAACTTAACTCATATACATTTGAATGGACGAGGTATTGCTATGGTAAGTTATCAGTATGCTAGCAACATACTAACAGCAATTTGTGTAGTGTACAGTTGTGTGTTGTTAACATCATGACGTTAGATGGCCATGAATACTTCACCACAACAGTCCGACTGCTGTGTGTCAATCTCATCCTTCTCTCACTCGTCACCGAATGTTACTTAAACAAGACTCTTTCTGGGACAAACAACAGATGTTTCTGAAGCAATGCAAATATTGTTGCCGCACATTTCAGGAGTTGCATGTGCTGTTGATTCCTGCCAAAGTCAAATCTCACCAAAACCTTCATCAAATCTTGTGGTGCAGTGCAGTTATCGCTTGTGCTTCACAGAAAGAAGTTCCTGAGTTTGGTTCCACCTCTAGGCCTTTCTGAGTGGAGTGTTTCTGCATAGGTGTTCTCTGGGTGCTCCATTTCCCTAATCACTAAAAACAAGTAATGAGAGAGTGAATGGATGGTGATGGTTGGAGACTTGGATGATCTGGTTCAACAACAACAACTTCTTCAATGCACTTTGCGACCTTGGTCTGTGAAATGCGCTTTATCAAAATCTCTTTCTAATCTCAAAAACATCTCTGTGCTTGAGTTGTCTTTCCCTTGCATTCAAAAAGAGCCCTCTGTGACTTCCATGTGAGAGAATAGCCTTGTGCATGTACGAGCAGGCGAGCGTTATGTTTAACACCAATTATTTCTGCAACAAAACTGAAAATCAGCTTCAATCAGCGGCAGGAGAAGCAGGCCGAGGATCCTGACTTCAGATGTTTACCATGAGCTGCTTGTTCCGTGCCCCGCGGCGAGCTCCCGGCTGTCCCCCGAGGCGGAAGCTGCTGCGAGGGTCCCGGGGCAGGAGGAGGAGACAGGTGGGTGGGGGGAAAGGGTGAGGGCGAGGGCAGGGGCAGGGGCAGGTGTGGAGCGTGTTCTGGCTCTGAGCTAATGAGGGTATTAAGCACCTACTGACGTACAGATCCGATTCAGTTTTCTTTGTCATTTGCAGTAAAACCACGTTGGAATACATGCGCAAAAGTACCCCAGTGTGCACCAGACAAGTACATAAACAAAACAAGCTAATAATGATTGTCACAGTGAAACCAAAAACAACAAAAACAGCTTAAATAGCATGTGCAAGATTGTTCAAATGGAAACTAAAGAAGCTGTTAGCATATCCAGCTGTCCTGTATCTTAGCGAACAATAGCTTCAGCCAGAGGGAAGAAGCTGGAACATGGCTTTTCCAGAGTGGCCAGGTGTCAGAGGAAAGGCGTGGACCAGAGAGGTGTAGCATAGATTCAGATTCAGATTCAGTTTATTTGCCATTTGCAGTAAAAAAAACCCACATTGGAATACATTAGCAAAAGTCACCAGTGTACACAGACAAATACAGACATAAAACAACATTAAAAGACAAAAATAAAACAAATAAAACAGTAAACAAATGTCACTGTGAAATCGATCGACTAAAACAGTTTCAAAACAAGTGCAGATATAAATGGACAGTATTTAACATGTAGCAATCTAAAGTAATTACAAATACAATCAATATTTTGTTGCTAGAATTTTCACCTGTGACTAATCTAGCTCCTAAAAACGGATTACTGATGCAATCCACCTGCTGGGGTTTGGCAAGAAACAGTTCAGACTCCATGTATTACATATTAAATTAATGTGTGATGCTTTTTGTGTTTGTTGAAAAAATAAAATAAAAAAAGAGATACATTTTCCCTTACAAACGATTGCCTCATTCTGCTCTCTGATTGGATAATCTGATTGAAACCTGTAAACATAAATATTATTATCATATCCTGCCCATTTTATTTTTAATTAGGAATAACTCGTTCAAATATGATTCATACACGTGACTTTTAATCTGGAGACTTATAAAAGATGAAGACGTAAAGTGAAAGGTTAAAAATTAGGTACATAACTTTCAAACCATAAAAAGAAGAACTAAGTAATAAAATCTTTGCAACTCACTCCTGGCTCAATTAAATTCTCAATTATCTTTTGCAGACTTCTTTATGGTCACTATTTGACTCTTTGGGCTGAGAGTGAGGGTGGCTCTCTCATTTTCACTGCTCTGTCTGAAAAAGCTGATCTAAAAATGTGACAGAGGCCAAACTAATATTTTTGAGAGCGAGGAGGGACTTCATTATTTGAGTAATTCTATGTTTTTTGGGGTTTGAAAGTTAGATTTATATCAACCTAAATGTGTTGAGTGAGGGAATGGTTGGTGGGTCCAATTCCGTGTACAATCCCCACTTTCCACCAGTCTGCCCCAGTGCAGCTGTGGCTTTGTGACCCTGGTTGGTGAATAGCAACATATAAATCAAGATTAGCATTTTAATAACAGAAGAAAGAAAGTCTGTGCACTTCTATATCCGACCAATGTTTCCTTCACCTGGAATAAACTAATATCTGGATTGGGTCCAGTTTTATCTTATCGTAGCTTATGTCCTGGGTCAGCCCGTCCGTCCGTGTGGAGCGGATCCCTCTCTCAAAAGTGGATCTCCCAGAGGCTTCTCACTTTTTTCCCACTGGGTTTTTGTGTGTATTTCCTTGCCGATGCAGGAGGGTCTGTTGGACAGTTAGTGTCCAACAAAAAGGATCTGGTGATGATCCAGGACACTTTAACATTCTACAACATGTATGGACATTTATCAACATGTGTTCTATAGTCTTTTTGTGTCTTAACTGTTGACTCTCTGATCTGTGTTGGCGATTTTAGTTGTTGTGTTAAGTCCTCTGAGATGACTTCTGTTGTGATTTAAGAATAAATTGTATTGTATTGTATATGTTTTTTTATTACACAAATTGAAAAACAAGAACATTCTTACAGTTAAAATTGTGATAAAGACATTAGGTTCAGTTCAATTTATTGTTGTAAAGCCCTAAATCACGTCGTTTACACAACTGCTGAATTCGCCAACACAGAGAATCAGTTCAAACACAAGAAATGCAATGATAGAAAACACATTGGGGGCCCATAGGGGCCCATAGGGGCCCTTATGGACCCATGTCCATAAATGTTGTTGAATGTTGAGTGTCCTGGATCATCAGTGTTTCTGGACAAAGCAGGGTCCACCTTTTTAGGATATTTCTTTGATTACAAATAAAGACAATAGATTCTTGATGCAAAAAGCCGTAACTGTTGCTACAGTGGATGGGAGCCCAGGTTTTTGTCTCCCATCTCCCAAATCTAATGTTGGATGTGGCGCAGTAAGTTTGAGGGGCAGATTTCCCCTGAGGCCCATCAGAACACAGCCGGGCGACAGACGGACGGGCAGGAGCAGGTTTGAACTGTCACGTCGCTGGGAGACTGCAGCAGCATGACAACAGCGGGCTCAAAGGCAGGGGTGACAAAGAGTTGAAATGAATTTAAACATTTGCAGACGATACAGAAAGAGAGACGGACGTGTTCGTGTTATCGACTGTCGAATGGAAGCTCTGTAGGTTTTAATAATGATAATGATAATAATGCTACGGTTTTATACAGCGCTTTTTCGGACACTCGAAGACGCAACATATGTTATTATTCATTGTAGCCACACCTACCCTGGGGCACACTGACAGAAGCGAGGCAACCAGTACGTGACATCGCTTCCATAACCACCATCAACCATTCACACGCACAACAGACTCATTTTGCCAGTGCCCTGCCGAAGGACACAATGACAGTTTGGCACTTTACAGCCGCAGCCGCCCCACTGTGGCACCTGGTGTTCCCAGAGGTCTCCCATCACAGCACTAACCAGGCCCTGCTCTTCTTAGCTTTAGAGGTTTGACAGGATCTGGCTTTTACGTGAAGGTATTTTCTATACTCAGTTTTCTGTGCTGTTTTTAGGTTCATAATTATAATTTTCAGACTGAGGTCATTCCTGTCATAAGTTTTTACACATGTTCACATCGAAAGGTTTGATTGAAACTAAAATTGCTATACTATCAAACTCGCCAGATTCAGAATCAGAATGATTTTCATTTTTATTGTGAGTAGTAGGAAGTCACAAACTAGGAAATTGCTTTGGCTCTTGGTGCAAATAAGTTATAAAAGTGAAAATAAGAAAGAAGTAAAACATATACGTACATAACATTTCTTAAAATTACTACTACATACAAGTTCAAGTTCATAATATTTTGAGTTACTACTACTAGAGTAAAAACCTCTAAAATATATTGAACTGGCGCGTTTGATACTATTTTATGTTGAAAGGGAATAAAGCAGGGTTCTCAAGACTGTAGCTCGGGACCTACGTGTAGCTCACCACTCCTTTTCAGGTAGCTTTAGAAGAGAACAAATCAAATAATGAGCTTAATATTTCAGAATTTAATTCACACACTCACAACTATTGTTACTGTAAACTTTCTTTGTGTAGTAGAATGTTTATGATGACACGTTCTCAGGCTCACTCTACCCCACTTTGCCTGAAACCCCTGCTGGAAGATCAAGGCTGTGTTGTCACTGACGGAGAAGACAGATGGAAGACAGAGAAGAAAAACAAAGCAGACAGAAGTTTAAAACGAAAAGTCAAAATCTGTTCGATAAAAGTATGTTTTAAGAATTGTTTTTAAAGCGGATACTGATGGTGCCAGCTTGATCTCCTCGGGCAGGTCCAAAGCCGAGGAGCCCAATCATGGCTGCATGTAACCATCTGCTGAACAAAGGTGCTTTAGATAATAACTATGGCATTTAGCGTCAAGTATCTATCATCTCCAAACAAATTAAAAACTTAGCGCAGTCTCAACACTGAGCTGGAGATGCTTAAACCAGGACAGTCCCACAGTGGCAGATATAAGACAGTATGATGGACGAACAGGAGCGAGACATCACTCTCTCTCGGTCTATGAATATCCCTGAAGGCAGCTGGTCCCTCCGCTCCGTCAGCACCACACCGCCCTACACCGCCCCACACTGCTCAGCCCTGTCCCGTCCAGAGGAGAGGCCGCAGCTGCCCCAATCCAAGCCAGGACCCAAACTCACCTCCAAGTTCAACATTAGGCCCCCGAGTCCCTGATGACCGGGGCCGATGAAGGTTGTGGAAACCATTAGCCGACAGTGTTTAGGTCAGAGAGGACTCAGAGGATAGATTGTCCACTTTTAAGCTAAACATTCGGGCGACTTCTGCTGCCGCTGCTCTGTGATCTGACCCATATACGTGCAAATGTATTCAGGGATTTTAAACTATGACAGCAGCAACTGAAGAGGGACTGAGGTCAGAATAAGCAACAAGTGTGTTTTGTGATGTGTCCAGACAAGTTATCAATCTATCAATGTGTTTATTTCAGAACACGTACAACATAAATCCACCAAGCCTGAGTGTACAAACTTTCAACACCCTTTCTGCTTGTTCCACACAGGCAAAAACTGTAGGAAATTGGTCAAAAGCAAAACAAAATACAGTTAAATGAGAGATTGCTGGATAATATAAGACAACATTGTAGAGTGTATATCTACAAATGCGTAAAGGTGCCATATATATTTGAAAATGAGACATTTCTGACAATAACATAGTGACAATTGTTTCCTGCACTTTGTTGTTTCCATCCTGTACTTTTAACCTGGTTTTATTTATGTACTTGTCTTGTGCACACTGGGGACTCTGCAAATGGCAAATAAAATAGAATTGAATTTGGAATCTGATTCTAGAAAAGGCCCTTACAAAGTTGTGATTATGTCTTTCTATCCATTCTATATAATCCCTGTACTTTTTTGCCCCAATTTGTTGGTTAAACACTGCTAAAACGTATAAAATATGATGTAAAAAGTGCTTGAATTGAGTGGTTTTTATCTTAAATTTGACTGTCTTAAAAAAAGATTACGCGATGGGACAAAGTCATTTACTTCTTTCTAGAACTGTTGCTTTATTTTCTCATTCCAAGGGAGACATTTCTTATATCTTTGTAAAACAAGACCATTTTGCTTTGTCCCGTTGGCATATCTTGTTTTCACGCAGTCCCGATGTTAAATTTGGCTTAATTCAGATAAATGCAGCCAAATTCTAGCAATGTTTGACTTATTTTCCATCACTTTTTGCAGTGATATACATCCGCCTACAGCAGCTAACAAACCGACGATGGCTTTAGCCCCACAGCTGCTGAGGCAGAACGACTGGGTGCCCTCTCCACGCTCCATTAGCCTCTTATTGTCACTCATTACAGGCCTCGTAATAACAGCAGAGATAAGGCCACGTCCTGAACTTAACCGACCCAACCTGGAGCCCCAGATCTCTATCTCAGCTGACCCCCCAATCAGACCCAACAACACACAGATGCTACTCATGTTCCGCACATGTTCAAGTGGATACGGTTTAAACTTTTACTGTTTTTAGTGCAAGGATTTTCCTTTTTGCCCTGGGACAGTCTGTGGATTGGTACATGCTGGAGTCATTTACGGTGTTGTGTTAACCCAGGCGAAACCAAACTACAAGCAGAGAATTGGACTTAAAGCTGCCACCCACCCACGCAGGCAGGTGGTCCGGACTAATGGAGGAGTCATTTCATAGCAACAATTAAAAATCACTCTGGATCCAGGTCAAAGTCTTCATTAAGGCCATAATCGGTTGTTGATTTTTGAGATGGAGCGCAGAGAAAAGTGCAAAGTTGTGTACAGTGTAATGGTGCGTATTTGGTGAATTGTGTAATATTTATATTTAAGTGACAGACTATAGGAAATGGCTTTGGCTCTGGGTGCAAACATGTCAAAAGTAGAGAAGTGGAGAATAGATTCAGATTCAGATTCATTTATTTGCCATTTGCAGTAAAACCACATAGGAAAAACTTTGCAAGACTACCCCGGTGTGCACCAGACGACACACACCAGAGCTCTTGCCACGGCGCCATCTTTACGGCGTTAGAGTAAGGAAGTAGAGAATAGAGTAAGGAGTGCATTCAGACCGGCAACGCTGAAGCCCCGCTCACCAGACGCGCATTCTCTAGTTTTCAGACGCAGAGGACTTCACACCAGAACGTCCTGACGCGTTCCGTAAGTACCGGAAGTAGCCGGCCGGCTCTGATGCTAACAGAGCTATGCTAGCGGCTTCTTGTGTACAGATCTTCTCCAATATGCAGCTTTGCAGCGTGTCTTTGAACAGAGACTTTCCACGGGCTTTATATAACAGTAGTATGTGTTCACGGAGGTGCGGCATATGTTTTTTTATATTATTAAACGGTATTTCCGCATCGGCGAGCACACTCGAAGCAGTTGCATAAGGTCACGGGAGCATGTCAACGCATATTTTCACAAGCACAGAGTCCCCGTTTGTCAAACCTGGTTTGAGTTCTGGTGAAGCCTGGTGTGGGTCCTGTTTTGGGTGTTTACAGTATGTTCAGTCTGCTCGCTCAGTCCACTAATGTCCCTGTGACCACTTTGTGGCTCTCTGATTGGTTGTCGCACAAACGTCCCAAGGAAAGGATGAGCAGAATCCATCTCCTGTGGGCGTTGATTTTTCGCTCCTGCTCCTCCCCTTTGACTTTCCCGCCAAGTCCCTGCGTGTCTACTGAACAGTCCGTCCGTGCGTGCCGAGAGGTCCGTGCGTAGTGACGCTGCAACGCGAGTCACCATAGACTTTGCATTGAAACCCGACGCAACGCATGATCCGGTCTGAACGCGCCAATAGCAATCAACATACATTTATAAAATATAAAAGTTAAAATATTTACAATTAGAGACACAAATTTAAAATATATTATAATCGGCCCACCGGAAGGAGATGATTCACACCGGTGCACACCGGGGTAGTCTTGCACAGTTTTTCCAATGTGGTTTTACTGCAAATGGCAAATAAATGAATCTGAATCTTCAGGACATGGTGCAGTGGCTATGTCTCTTAGCTGGCCTGTAATTTCCTCGGTACAAATTAAATATCGCTCGGGTTAACTCCTTTTGCAGATTGAAACGATTGGATTTGAGTTTACCAAAATTCGGCAAAAGTGAATTGTTAGCATTTAGCATTTAGCCTAGCCAACTCCTTTGGAGAAGGGTTGCCAACCCTTCCTTGAAATACAGAATTGTCCCATATTATAGAAAAACTATGTGCATCCCGTATTGAATCGATATGGGACGGCTTTTGTCCCGTATTTTCAGAGCCACCTTAAATGCATCACTCACTCACTGCATGTCACACGCGCGACACACGCACACACCAAGCCCTGGTGATCCAAGATGGCTATTCAAATGAATGACTTGTGCTCAGTAGCGCATGGGACTTCATGGAGACCGGGAGATTAGCAGAACTCGCCTATATTTGGGCATCGTCTGGTCCTCCCAGTTCTGCGCAGTGGATTAGCGCAACGCATGATGGGAGATATCTACCATCATGCGTCCTGCCAAACGTGCGTGTGTGGCTTTCAGGCTCGGCCGCGCTCTGACCAATCAGAGCTGATCATCAGAGCAGCGGAAGAGCGGAGCCAGAGCGGGAAGGCAGGGAGCAGAGTTTGTGGCAGTAAAGTGTGGATTTAAAGAAAAGCGAAGGATTTAAGAAGAAAAAAAGTTCAGCATGACAAGGGACACTAAAATCCCCACAAAATCCAATCTTTATGAAAGCTGTAGGTTCTCTGTCAGCTGAGGTCGAGCTGTTTTAATTTACATGGAGTTCTATGGGACTTTTTTCTGGGTAGCCCTCGTGAATTTAGTCTGCAATTGCTACAATTGTTTTTACTGAAGTAATGTACACGCACTAAACTCTCAGACCATATAAATAATGACCATATATAACTGCTACAGACTTTGATTTCAACATTTGTGAGTTTATTTTTAATGAATACATGTTTATATTTTATTATTTGCTTTTACAGTAAATGGTCTTTACTGTAACACAAATAATGCATTTGTCTTTTTTTATATTTTTTATTACTAATAAGAATGCATTAAGTCCTTAACCAGCCAAAGAGTTCCACCTATTTATTCAATTTAATTTTTGACTAAGGATTTGTTTTTTTTATATGTAGTCAATAAATTACATTCTAAAATCTTTGATTATGAAATTCCATGATTACTGTGTAGACTGAAATTAAGACTAAAAAGTGCTTAACCCGATCCACCCAAATGGTGTCCCTTATTTTTTTGTTCTCAAGTTGGCAACCCTAGTGGGGAGTAGCGCCACAATCTTTGCCAGCGATTACATTTGCTAAACATTCCTCTTGCTCCGGCTTCAATTTCTTGATAGAACCAGACCGGAATACTTTACTATCGCATTTTTTGCCATTGCCAAACTACAAACTGCCAATTCGGCGCAAACTCTTGGCGTCACCCATATCCAACGACAACACGCGCTCGCTGATTGGTCGGATGGAATTCAACTGATCGTAATCGCAAACACAGGGACCAGACCCAGACGTTACATGCAGTGAAATGATGATTGAGCGGAGTGTATGGATGGCTATGGCCAGGCTAGACCATTTCTTGAGTTTGAACTGTTTATTCACGGTTTTGTAAAGTCGTCAGAGAAAACTCGTGTTGTGATTTAGGGCTAGACAAAAATACATTAAATGGATTTGAACTATTGGTTAAACCCACACCAGTGAACGTGCGGCAAAGTCGACTCCGGAGTGACTACCGTTTTTGGTAGCCTCTGCTCCTGACGTCAGCGATGCTCTCTCACATGAACACCTTTTGTAACACGCACCTCTCTCTGTCTCGAACATGAGAAAAGGAAACGAGGCCCGGGAGATTTGAGGCTAAAAACTGCCAAAGTTTACAGCTCGGAGTGTAAGCTGTGAGATCCCTGGAGCCACACCTCCTTTGTTTTACCACAGAACACACAGGACCGGACCGCCGCGTTAAAACACTAATTGCTTTTCGCGCCCGGCTGGCAAATATGACTGCTATGATGTTGGGTGGATGTGCCAGAACAAGTGTCAACATCTGTAATTACCTCCACCATCACCGACATGCGGCTTTTAAAGGAAGCCAACATTTGCAAACACTTTATTCACACACCGTTAAAAAGCACAATCATAACTGTTGCACTTTCTGCTATTATACAGAACATATATGTCAATTCACGGTCTTGAAGCT